GAATTTGGGGAGCTTGGAATTTGGGGAGCTTGGGATTCAGTGAGCTTGGAATTTGACTTTTGGTATTACAAAATTTCGAAAATCTCGAACTTGCAAAAATAGAAACTTAATTACTTCCTAATGAAGCACTAACGTGTACTTTATTCATTTGCTTTTACAATTATTACTTCGCTTAAATTGCTTAAAGTTTGTAAATAGTTCACAATAATATCTAAAGTTATTGTGTCACTGTATCAAGAGGTTTCGAATGGAACGTTCAGTTCCAGGCAATTTTATTGTCGACCGTGTCGTGATAAGTAACTGTAACGAAAAATATCGTTAAACTCGATCTTCGGATCCTTTAACCGGATTTCAGCGGTAACTCACGTCACAAAACGACGAGTGTGTTTCGTGGCAGAGAATCGTAACGAATTGCGATCGATAGCAGCACGTATGGTGGTAGGTAATCGCTATTAGCTGCGGCTATCGACTAACCGTGACGTCGATGATCGGTAGCGGTACGAAATAATCGCAATTAACTCCGGGTATCGGTCGGCTAGAAGGTCGATACGGCACTGCCGCAAAATAATCGCGATTAGATGGACTTCATCAGGCGACCATAACGTCAATTTCGCATAGTACACACGTTTTTACGTGGGAGCTCTCGAAACCCATTTGGTCGATGACGTAGTTCCGCACGAGCGTATTCCAGTTTCGTTTCGCGTTATACTGGTGCGTATGAAAGGGGTTTAAAACAGGGTCACCGGAAACGGATTCCCTTTCAAGCCCCTGCCCCGGCGCCCGTTCTCTATTTCGCGAACAACGCAACGGTACACATTTTTTACTCCTGCCATCTTGATTTCCAAAGCTCGATTTCGAATTGATCGGAACTCGCAATTCGAGAACCTATCGGGATTTATACGCGAGTTGCATTTCGACGATGAATAGATCGCGTTAACGCCTTGATCGCCGTTCGCGCGTTAACTGATATATGTCCATCGAGCAAAAGAAGAATAAAATATACATAAAACGTTGTAATCCAATCGTATGAAATATTTGACAAAATAAATCTTTCTCATCCCTGAAAATTGCACGGTAAATCCTGCGACACTTTTCCCGGACGACATTAAATTCTTTACGAAGCGTTGGCGTGACCGGTAATAGTTATCTGTTCCGCCACTTTCGCGCCGCTTTCTTTTGTCCGAAATTACATTCCCGCCGGTTAACGGTCAGCCTGGATTTGTCGATCGACCGATATTTTTCTCGTCTGTCCTTCGATCCATATATCCCGGGATCAGGCCGAAAAGACTACCATAAACTCTGGCCAATTTTACAGGCACTGCCCGATACATAAACTCGTAAAAGCGAAATTTAATACAGCTACCGGAAACG